GTGCCAGTGGAGAGGATCATTTGAACTCAGGATTTGAGACCAGCTGAGCAACAAGCAAGATCTCTGGTGCTCTACGTTATTACAAAAATAAAAATATTGAAATAACATATCTTAGTACCTGGAACAACTAAAAAGAGAGAAAAAAATTAGCCAGGGCACGGTTGGCTATTGTCCTGTATGTCCCAGCTTACTCAGAGCCATGCAGCAGTATGGATTATCAGATGACATTGAAGCCAGAAAGTTTGGTCAGTGGTGCCGTGAGCAGTACTTGATTGACCACAGTACTCACTAGCCCAGGCAACAGAAGTTGGAGCACTGTCATCAAATAAATAAAAAAATTAACTTGGTTCATCCCATACATAACCATAATTATAAGTATGGAAGTAAGCATCGAGATAAATTGTGATAAAGATGAAAAGTAATAAATGAGATGTTGAATTTTGATCACCTTTCAAACAATTGGAATGTAATCTAAAATGGTTTGGATAACAGAGTAACCCAAAACAGCATGGTACATGTTGGTACTAAGAACTCAGAGGATATTTGACAATCGGGTAATTTCCAGAAAGACGAATCCCAGTATATGATAATAAATCTATGTGGCCTCAACTAGTCACATTGTTTCTGATCTTTGACAAAGCAGAGAAAAATACCACGAGTGGGAAAAGAATCATGTATGCAACAAGTGGTGCTGGGAAAACTGGTAACACAGTGGAGAAGCACTGAAAACAGGATCTTCCACCGCTCAACAAAGAATCAACTCATGTGATGTACAATATCAATCTATAGGCAGAATGTCAATAAGAATTCTATAAGAAAGAATGTTTGGAAAAAACTCTATAGACGACTTTGCGGCTAGAGCAAGAATTTATGTAGAAGACCCCAAAGCAAGCAAAAATAAATAAATGGACCTGATACAAGTACAAAAGCTTAGCACATGCAAGGAAACGGCATATATCATTAAGTCTAAACTAGATAATCCTGATCAGAATGGGAGAAAAAATTGCATGCTATACATCCAATAAAGGGCTGATACGTAGAATCTATAAAGAAGTGCGGCAAATAGGCAAGAAAAAATCAAACAAAACCTTTTAAAAAAGTGGGCAAAAACATGAAAAGAAACTTTTGTTGAAAAGAACAGACTAATGGCCAAACAAACATTATAAAAATTGCTCAACATTCTCTAATCATCAGGGAAATGCAAATCAAAACCACAGTGAGATATCACTTAACTCCAGTGAGAATGCTTTTATCAAAAAGTCCCAAGACACAAATATTGGCATGGATGTGGAGAGATAGGAACACTCATGTACTGCTGGTGAGACTGCAAAGTAGTACAACTTCTATGGAAAGTAGTATGGAGATACTTCAAAGAACTAAAAGTAGAACTACCATTTGATCCAGCAATACTATTACTGGGTATTTATCCAAAGGAAAAAAAGACATTCTATTTATATCAGCACTCGAATGATTATAGTAGCACAATTCATAATGCAAAGATGTGAAACAACAATACATGAGTGGATTAATAAAATGTGGTATATGGATACCATGGAGTACTACTAGCTATAAAAAAAAGTGAACCAATATCTCTTGTATATCCTGGATAGAGCTGAAGCCAGTTCTAAGTGAAGTATCACAAGAATGAGAAAACAAATACCACATGTACTCACCATTAAATTGGTACTCATCGGTCAACACTATGTACACATATGGAAGTAACATTCATTGGAGATTGGGCAGGTGAGGGGGGAGGAGAGGATTGGGTAAATTCACACCAAATGGGTACAGTGCCCACTGTGTGGGGTATGGGCACACTTGTAGCTTTGACTCAGGCAGTACAAAGGCAATTTATGTGACCAAAGCATTTGTACCACTATAATATTTTGAAATAAAATAAATAAATAAGAAATGAATAAAGAAAAACAAACAAAAACTCTAAAATGTTTGATAATATTTGGGAAACAAGCACTTTCATATACTATTGTAACATTAATTTGTAGGATTTGGAGGAATAGGATATCATTTTTCCAGATGCATCAAATTAAAATGCACATACTCTGCATGATCTCACTCATATATGAAATCTTAAAAACTTGATTACAGGCTGGGCGAGGTGGCTCATGTCTGTAATCCTAGCACTCTGGAAGGCTGAGCGGGCGGATTGCTCAAGGTCAGGAGTTCGAAACCAGCCTGACAAGAGTGAGACCCCGTCTCTACTAAAATAGAAAGAAATTAATGGCCA